GACGTTTTTGACTATTCCTGTTTTAATTATAAAGTTAGTGGGTTAATGTTAGTAAGTCTAATTACTTGGGGGTTAAAAGAGGTAACCTTGAGTTAATTAGTGGGTTATTATTGTCATCTTCTATACTTAATTATATGCTAATTAGGGTAAAAGAAAGAGGGTTTGAATAAGAAAAAGAAAAGAACAGAAAGAGAGAGAGGGGATCGAATGAGAAAGAGGAGAAACGAGAAAAGAACAAAGCTTTGGGAACTTGCTTGCTTGATTTCTAATCTTCGGTGGAGGTAGGTTAGGGTTTTCATGCTATTCGTAGTAAACTCTTAATAGCGAATGATATGTGTTAGTAGTATTGTAAACCTTCTATATGCTTAATTGTATGCTTGCATAAATGATGTGATTATGTAAATGTGAATAAATAAGCATGATGAAGCTATTGAATCCCAAATCTTGAAAAGAAACCCTAATCTACTTTGTTAATGATGATGCCTTGGTATAAAAGAAGGCTTGATGAATGAACGTAGTGAGATTAGGGGATCGGGTGTCACGTTCCGGTACCAGGATAGTATATGAGGATCGGAGTGTCACGTTTCGACACCAGGATAGAATATGGATCGGGTGTCACGTTCCGACACCAGGATAGAATATGGATCGGGTGCCACGTTCCGGTACTAGGATAGAATATGGATCGGGTGTCACGTTCCGACACCAGGATAGAATATGGATCGGGTGACACGTTCCGGTACCATGATAGTATATGAGGATCGGAGTGTCACGTTCCGACACCAGGATAGAATATGGATCGGGTGCCACGTTCCGGTACCAGGATAGAATATGGATCGGGTGCCACGTTCCGGTACCAGGATAGTATATGAGGATCGGAGTGTCACGTACCGACACGAGGGGAATAAAGATAAAGAATCTTGAAAGATGTTAATATATTCAATCTAATGAACCTAATTCCCAAATGAGTATGATGAGGAGGCGTGAGTCCTCATTGATGAGCTTGGTGTTGTAACCAAGGGCTATGGTAATTGCAAATGCTGCATGCTAAGGATATTAGTTGATTTTATGATATTATCTAATATATACTGTTTTCTATTTTGAGTTGGCCGATGATATCTACTCAGTACTCGTGTTTTGTACTGACCCCTACTTTTATGTTTTCTTCTTGTTTATTTGTGGAGTGCAGCATACGTGCCGTCGCCTTCGACTCAACAGTAATTCAAGCCAGTCTTACTACACCGGAAATTCAGGCTGAGCTAATGCTTCTAGCTTGGACTGGATCTTCTTCTTCAAGTCTTGATGCCTTAAACTTCCGGCATGGACTAGCTTCTTATGTATTTTTAGCTTTTAGAATACTCTTAGTTTAGTCATTTGACCGTAGATGTTCTTGTGGTGATGACTTCCAGATTTTGAGGATAATAATAGTTATTGATTTTATTAATGAGTTTAAGTCTTCCGCATTACTTTATGTTGATATTATATTGAAATGTTAAGGTTTAGATTGGTTGGTTCGCTCACATAGGAGGGTAAGTGTGGGTGCCAGTCGCGGCCCGGATTTGGGTCGTGACAATATATATATATTAATTTACATATATATTAATTTATGTGTTAACTTTTTTTTGTTGTATTTGATGCATAAAGTAGTGTGCAAGGGATTCATAACTTTGTTGACTTAGACTTAAATAATATTTATTATGGCTAAATCAATTGTTTGAAATTGGGTCATATGTCTACTGCACTTAAATGATGTGCTAAGTATGTTTGCTTTTTCTGTGAGATTTAGTTGAGTTTTGTTTATTCATTTTATGATGTCATTTTACTTTACATTTTTAAATTTCTAGACTGATCTATATTTCATAGATGTTTTATTTAATTACTTATATTGTGATTTTAACTCCTCATTATTCTATTTTTTGCATGTGAACTTGTCCGATTCATCTACAACTCATCTCCCTCTGCATTTTGAGAGAGCCATAAAGGGTCGAGTCTTTTTTTGGGTTAGTCAATCAATGGATTCAATGAAGGGCAACTTTCACATATAGCAAACAAAAAATTCATATTTGTATGCTATAGCAAACTTTGCATAATTGTGCTCCATAGCAAACATAAAACCGTATAATTTGCTATACATATACAATTGTATAATTCATTGGCCTAAATTGTATAATTCGCTGGCCTATTTCGCTGCAATTGTATAATTTGTTTTGCATACAGTTGAATTGAATTAAAATGTATGTATATTGCATAATTATAAGTGTATCGCAAGAAGATATATGTTTTTCTCGCTTTATACAAAAACAGAAACACAATATATACACTTCTGTTGTATAAAGCTAGAGAAAATTGTATTTCACTGCAATTGTATAATTCGTTTGCCTTTTTCTCTACAATATTTGAAGTAAAATGTTTGTAAATTGTACAATTAAGTGTATAACACGAAGATATACATTTTTGCATGTGTATATACAATTTTCTCTCGCTTTATACAAAACAGAAACAGAACTATACACTTCTGTGTATAAAGTGAGAGAGGTGAGCGAGAATAGAGAGTGGCGAACGAGATTTTTGGAAGAGAGCTGGCAAATTTTAGCTAATGTTTGCTATGGAGCACAATTAAATCAAACCCTAGCTATTCCATTTAATTTAGGTTATTAGTTTGCTATTGTATACAATTTTCCCTTCAATGAACAGGTCTCAAAGTAAAAAAATACGGAGTAGATCGGGAGTTGAAAATATTGGGCCAAGGGCCCATCTAATTATTTTGAGTTGTATTTTGTTACTCTTGGGCCTAAGCCTGTTGCATTTAATCGTTATTATTTGATAGTTGTTAGGACAGGTACCAACAAAGAAATTGGACCATTTTATTAGAATAAGACAAATATAAATCACTTAAATGGGTCCAAAGCCCATATATATATATATATATATATATATATATATATAATAGAAGTAGGTTCAAGTAATAGCCTAGTCGAATAGTAAACCAAATTTGGGCAATGCCTCAATTTTTCTAATGATAAGTGATATCATGCATATTGTTTTAATTAGCTAGATGAAACTTATTTTTGATTTATGTGAACAAATTTTGAACTCGATCACATGCAATATATTGGATAGAACAGAGGCTCGTCGAAACTCTATTGGAAACATTGATGACTAATGGCATAGACATCCATCAACACTTCCATCGTGATGTCAGTCCTACTTACCTACTTTTAATTTGCAAATATTATATTTAGGAGGAATATATTGGTAGTCCTTAATCTAAATATTTGAGTAACGAATTGAGCACCTAATAAAGTGTTCCTAAATATTAGTTATTATCGGTTCAAATTTTGAAAAAGATATGCATGTGTTCTCAAATTAGTATGTCTTCCCTTTTTATTATATTATATGCATGAGCTTTGATTGGACTAGACATGAGAACATGCACATGACATAAAGGGGATGTCATATTTTAAATAATTAATTTATCTATGTAATAAACACTTGAGAACATACCAAAAAAAAAAAAATTCAAAGACTTAGGGCGGTAAGTAGCTATCAATTGAAACATGTCATGATATACTTCCTTAGCTTTAGCAGGCCAATATGGTAAATTTCTTTTTTTTAGACAAATGAAGAAATTTAAAAATTTGTTAAAAATTGAATTCATAGAGTTTTACCCTGTATCCATTTTTGTTGATAATTACAATGTGTTGATATCGAAAACTAATTTGTAGGTACTTGAATATCGAGGATCCAAAGATTGAACATGACATGCAACAACTAGTTGAACTTGTGCTATCTAAATATGATGAAGATATAGATGCCAACGTCAATCAAACGTTTCTTAATGTAGCCAAGAGTTTTTATTATGTTACTTAATGTAGTCCAACAATCAATGATAAGGTGCTCTTCCAAAGAGAACTTTAATCAATTGAGTGTATCAACTTTATTATTGCCCATAGTCTCATCTTGCATATCCTCTCCGCGATTAAAAGAGTTTAATTTCTATATTAATGTTTATCGTTTGTCGATAAGCAAATATAATAGAAATTCTTCAATTCTATTGTATTCATATATACAGATTTGTCCTACTTAAAGAGAAATATGGGGTGTGAATGGCTTAATTCTTTACTCCCGTCTACTTTCCCTTCTTGTGGGTTTTAGGGGTTCTTGGAGCTTTGAGACTTTTTCTATGATATAATTAAGGGAGCACGAACAAAGATTGTATACCTTAATAGTTGTAGTGGAATTTGTTTGATCTTACCATCAAAAGAGCCCAAAGTCTACTTTTGAATCACTAGAAGACAAAGTGTTTTCCCACAAATTAGATGCCTTTTTGTTTTGTTTTTGTGTTGTGAGAATTATGATTTCTTAAAATTGGGGTATTACGATACAAAGGTGAAATATGTTAACAGGCTCTTAAAATTGATTGCAAATTTCATTTATACTCAAATTATAACATGTTTCAATTGTCAGAGAAAAACTTTTACACATATTCTTTAAGAGTGTATTACAAAGATTAAGATATTCAATAAAATATGTCATCTTCTTTAGTGATATATGTGTATCAATAGATACAAACTTAAGGTTTTACATTGTATTAAGATTAATACATATAATTCAAGTATATACTAACATATCTAAAATAATTAACTAAATGCTTGAGAAGATGCACATAAATTTTTGTAAAATTTTACATTTCATCATACTTAACCGTGACATAATTCTATGTATTCCACCTTATAGGAAAAAATATAATATGACCTACCTCTATATGTATCAATCAAAAAGTTCATAAGACAAGGCCCACGGAGTGTCAGAAATAGAACAGTAAAAGAAGGCACAGACTGAACGAAGAGATTTTGGGCCTAATAAAAAAGATCATTCGGCCCATTAATAATGGCGGGAGCCCAAAAATAAGTTTAAATTCTGAAAATTTACAGTTTTTTGTTTTTGTTTGTAAAAGGCGGGCGTTGCCCCTAGAAAGGGTCCGGTTCCGGGTACAAAAACCCAAAACCAACCACTCCCACAAATATTTCATTTTATTTATCCCTAAAGTGCCCCCACACACATTACACACACTGATTACTCTGTATCACACCTTTTCTCCTCTTCCTCATTTCCTCTCTCCCATGGAGAACCAGAAACTTACCGAGCGTTCCTCAAGTTCTGCGAGGAGGAGCTTGAAGAGAAAGTTAGAGGAAGATCTCCAAGACGATCGTAAGGTTTCTCCTTCTATATCTTCCGAAGATGGTCATCAAGATCTGGAACGTGAAGTTCGTACACAGGTCGAGATTCTTGAGTCATCTTTTTCTTCATCTGAGTCAGATCGAGCCTCTTCCAAACGCGCTATACATGTTCTCTCTGAATTTGCTAAAAACGGTAACCGATTTGCATTTCATTTTATACTGGATCAGAATTTTAGGTGTTCATGCCGAGAGTTTTCTTGCTTTTTCTTTAATCGTTTTGGGAGTGGTATTAGGTTTTGATATTTGAGGATTTGTGTTTTGTAGAGGAAATTGTGAACGTAATTGTAGATTGTGGCGCTGTTCCGGCTTTGGTGCAGCATCTACAGGCGCCGCCTCTTGTAAGTGAAGGTGAAGGTAGTCACATCCCATACGAACACGAGGTTGAGAAAGGAAGTGCTTTTACGCTTGGACTTCTTGCTATAAAAGTAAGCATCCAGTTCGTTTTTTTTTTGTTTTTTTTTGTTTGATATTTGTTAGTTTTCTCTGCGTATTATAAGTACAGGTACTGTAAAATAAACTAGTTACTTCATGCATATGATTGCATGAATTATCTCATATTTCTGGTGAAACGATCTTGCTTGTGCGCAGGGGCTATGTATTAAATGGAATAAGTTACTGTAAATGGGATTTTCATTTTGCTGTTTTCTTGAACACTTGTTTAATTTGTTCGTGCATTCCTTTGCGGCAAGTGAAGAAGACACAAGTTTTATTTAGCAATGGCATTTACCAAGTGTGTTTCTAGGTGATCATTGAGGAACTATCAGTATGACTTTACTGGTAGCGGCGGATCTACAGTAGCGGCTGTGGGTTCCTGAGAACTCAGTAACTTCTTCCGAAACCCTATAATTATATTGAAAATTCTTTTAAATATATAACAACTAGAAGCCTAGTTCCATGGCAAATAGAGGAACGATTGAACCGCACCAGCGCCAGTGTGCGCAGGTATGGATCCCCCAAGATCAGTGTTACTAAAACATAAAATATCTATCCCATAAACTTAACATCCTGGATCAGTGTTGTGAAAGGTGATCGCTTCGTCGCCAATGGCAAGAGGCAAGGCGAGGCGACCCTTCATCGCCTTTTAGCTTTGTGGTGAGGCGATCTTCAAAAGGCGATGGTATGACGACAAAAGGCTAGAGGCAAGGGGCGAGAAAGGCTAGAAAGGTGTCACCTTTTGTATTTTCTTAAAAAAAAAGCGACCAATCTAGGGTTTTGAAAGTTAAAAGGTAATTTTAGGATTTTTGACTAGACTCCTTCGGCAACTACCCAGGCTTTTCCGGTGACTCCAAAGTCTAACCAATACATATTTCTTCTTTTTTTGAGAAAGTTAACATAATACATATTTCTTCTTTTCTTCTTCAGACTTGAGTCACTTCTACCTTTGTTTTGACTTTTGTTCTTTTCTTTCTCATTCAAGTTCTAGACTTTTAGTATGTACTATCTATTTTTACTTTTTGAATTGAAAAAATTGCTAATATGTTATTGTTTGGTTATTTACATATGCAATAAAATATTTACATATGCAATAAAATATTTTAATTTTTTGGTATTAAATGGTGCCGCACTTCAAAAAGGAGAGCGCCTCGCCGTTCGCCTCGCCTCGTGGCAAGGCAGACCCTTGTCGACTTTTATCGCCTTTCGACGTCCAAAACAATATCCTGGATATGCCTTTGACTTTACGTATCTCTTAGACTCTGAAGTTATCTATTAACAAGAAAGGGTAATAGAATGCTGATCTCTTAAAGATTATTTTGTGTGCAAATCAAAATAAAAGGTATTAATGCACAGTAGATAATTTCCAATTTGGAACATGTGCAGATCTAAATTAATTGCAATCAATGTGAGTGCTTTGAGTTTAATTGTCTGGTATTACTAGATTTATGTTCTACTTGAAAAAGAAGCTTCCAGAATTGTTCTTTCGATGAGATTTCATGGCATATAGATAATTTTCCATCATCACAATCTCAACTAACTCATACGCTTGGATCGTTTGCGTTTTTATTGATGTACTTTCTGAAATTTTTGTCTCTCATAATCCTGCTGAAAAGAACCTTGCTTCTCCTCTACTTCATTCGTTACTTTCTGCTTCCATCAGAGGAGTAGATATTTACTCTCTTTCTATGTTTTGAACTTATGTCTGACAGCCGGAGCACCAACAACTGATTGTTGATGCTGGAGCTTTGCCTCATCTTGTTAATTTGCTGAAGAGGCATAGAGATGCTCAGAATTCTCGAGCAGTCAATGGTGTTATTCGGCGCGCAGCTGATGCAGTAACAAATCTTGCTCATGAAAACAGTAGCATCAAAACTCGTGTTAGGTTAGTTTATTCTTATCTGGAAACATTGTTATCACAATATCTATGGAAATAAGACCTCTTTTTCTTACTTCATCAGTTCATCTGTATTTTATGATTATAGGGTTGAAGGTGGCATCCCTCCACTTGTTGAGTTGCTTGAGTTTGTTGATTCAAAGGTGCAGAGAGCAGCTGCAGGATCCTTACGAACGTTAGCATTTAAGAATGATGAAAACAAAAATCAGGTGAATGGCTTACAAAATTTATCTTGAATATCTCTATGGTCACGTCTTCTATTTAAGTTAATTTATGTGAATTGATTGCAGATTGTGGAATGCAGTGCACTCCCTACTCTTATACTAATGCTTCGGTCTGAAGATACTGCTATACACTATGAAGCGGTGAGACATCATTCAATGTCATGCTGAACTAGCATATATAGAGTAATGATTGATAATACCTAGGATATTGGCTATTTTTCGTGTAGTAGTCATCCCCAGAACTTAAATTGTGGGTGGCAGGTTGGAGTCATTGGTAATCTGGTACACTCGTCACCAAATATCAAGAAAGAAGTTCTTCTTGCAGGAGCTTTACAACCTGTAATCGGGTTGCTTAGGTATACTCAACTCTTATATCTTTTGAGCAATCTGATCATATGAATATTTCGAGTCTGTAGTAGGACCTATGTAGTTGTATGCTCCCTCTTCTTTTGATCAACTATAAATCTTGTATGCCAGTTCCTCCTGTTCAGAGAGCCAAAGGGAAGCTGCTTTACTGCTAGGACAATTTGCAGCAACTGATTCAGACTGTAAGGTTGATTAAAATAATAAGCTCTGTTACTGTCTTAAATGGTGAAACTCTTTAGTTAAGTAGCATTACCGAGCTACTTTAATCATTTTTTGCACATAGTTTAATCTGTTTGAAACTCTTGCAGATTCATATTGTTCAAAGAGGTGCAGTTCCACCATTAATTGAGATGCTTCAATCTCCAGATGCTCAACTTAGGGAAATGTCGGCCTTTGCTTTAGGAAGGTTGGCGCAGGTAATTTCTCTTGGATGATATCTTGAGTAGCTTTCCATTCCCTTGTCTACTAGTAGCAGTTGGTCTATTGGTTGTCTGATAAAATCTTGCTATTCAAGAATTTCTTTTCCGACACTCATATGTTCTTTGGGATGATCCATCACAAACTTGTATTTGATGATTTCTGATATTGTTTTTCAAGCGTGATCCCTTTAATATGTATTGTCTACATTCTATAAAGAAAATCTTATTTCTTGACTGTAAAGAATGGAAAGGAAGTGAAGCATGTTGTGATTGGTGTCCCCATTGGGCTATTGGTTATTTAGCTGCTGCAAAAGTCTTTATTTTAAAATGTTTGTTTCTGACAATTATTTCTAAATGAGCAACCGTTTTTTCACATAGTTGATATGATACCTACCTCGGGGTATGTTCAGGAATCTCTAAGGCCTCATTTGTTCGTACTTAATGAAAGTCTGATTTTGAACCATTTAGATGTGGTAAAACAAACAATCTTAATCATTCAATCTTGAAATCTAAAGACAACATCTCAATCTTTCATATCTGGAGTCAGATTTAGACGCTTTAATCTTAATGAAAATAAATGAGGCCTAAGAGAATAAGAGATTGGTTCTTTTGGGCACAAAACTTGATTGAAGGACAATAGTAATGATTTTCCAGTTTGGAAGTTTAATCTACCTAAACTTAGTGGAAGCTATAGTGCTGACTCTGAGCAAAATCAAAGTGGGGTTTGAAGGGTATTATTTTCATCACTTAGTCTTTGCAGCTGCTCAATCTCTTGTGATTTATAGTTTCTACTGATGGTCTCGGATTTGTAATATTTTCTCATCAGTAGCTCTGTTTTAGATGTAGATAGATTATATGTGCCTTGTTATCTCACAATTTTTTGGTTCATGTTTTACAGTCGCACAATAACAGTTGTGAAGAGTAAGACTGATTGAATGTTATTAAAAAAAAATTTGTTATAAAAAAAAAGAGTAAGACTGATTGAATCTTTAATTGCCCTAGCAAATTGGAATATCAAGATGCTGTGATGTTTCTAATGTTTGGTACATGAGTATATTAACTCTACTCTCTTTGGAGCTCTAATTTAACTTCAGATGTGATGATTGATGGTGCAAGAACATTTCCTTTGCTCATAGTACTTAATTTGATTTGAGGATTTAGTACGACAATGTGACCGGGTGTTAGTGATTCCATGATGTTCAGGACACACACAATCAGGCTGGTATTGCTCACTGTGGTGGAATTATCCCATTGTTGAAGCTCCTTGATTCAAAAAATGGATCATTACAACATAATGCTGCATTCGCTCTTTATGGGCTTGCTGATAATGAGGTGTTGCATGTCATCAGATCATATATGCCTTGATTATAATTAATTTCATGCACTTACATGCTTCTTTAGACTTACTGTGACTTTGTGCTATAGGACAATGTTGCTGATCTTATAAAGGTCGGAGGTGTTCAAAAGCTCCAGGATGGAGAATTTATTGTCCAAGTATGATCTCTTGATGTCTTTTCTTTTGGATTTTTATGTTTTTTCTCAAGGATAAGTACCTTTGTTGCTTTAAATGAGTTTGCATCATTCTCTTTTTACATATTGCCCTAAGTTCTAAATTGAGTTCCTGACTATGCAGCCAACTAGAGATTGTGTGGCGAAGACATTGAAGAGATTAGAAGAGAAGATCCATGGTCGAGTGAGTTTCTATTTCTTAAATTATTTGTTTTCGTCTTCAGATGACATGAATGCAACTTACCTCCCTTCTCCACAATTTGATTTTTCTTTTATGTTATTTCTTTTGTTAAATCTTATTAGGTTATTTGTGAGTACAATATGTAATATCTTTCTCCTTCTTTGGTAGATATTGGGCCATCTGTTATATTTGATGCGTATTGGGGAGAAGGTTATTCAGAGACGAGTTGCTTTAGCCCTTGCCCATCTTTGCGCACCAGATGACCAAAAGATCATTTTCATTGATAACAGTGGTATATGTTTGATTTGAACTTAAGATTGCTTTTTAATACGTTCTGGTGAGGCAGTGACAATAACTTTCTGTTTGTTTATGCACTTGTAGGATTAGAATTGCTTTTGGAGCTCTTTGACTCAACAAACTTGAAACACAAAAGAGATGGCTCTGCAGCTTTATGCAAATTGGCTAATAAAGCTAGCTCACTTTCACAAGTCGATGCTGCTCCTCCTTCCCCAGTACCTCAGGTTTGTTTATCTTAGTCTCCATTCTGATTGCACTACTAAGATTCTTCAAATATTTGCTTTGAGTTAGTTTTGACTATTAGTTGGTTTGTTTAAATTTCTCCACTTCTGTACATGTAGTGCTTAGTCAGGTTGTCATCATTTGACGAGTCTGGAACCTATATGATGGACAAAAAGACACAATTGACCAAAATAAAGTTGAAATTTTCTACATATAGCGTACTAATTTAGTGCACTATATGACTCCCATGAACAGACCAGGCCTTAAAGGTTACTAAATTGGTGCGTTATATGTTGAAAATGTCAAACTTTATTTTGGTCAATTGTGTCTTTTTGTTCCATCATTTAGTAAAGGGAGGTAAAACTCTCTGAAGTTTATAAAATATAGCTATGCAAATTTAATATGTTTGGTCATTTTTCTTCTTGTTTCTAAATTTAAATGATCATGCCTATAGACCAATTTCTAAAAAAAAATTCAAGGCAGTGTGCTATGCAGACTCAAAAATTTGACCTCCTACCTCCACCCCCCAAATAGTTATCCAAGACTAGAAACTTGTAGTGCGCTAATGATGTTTTTACAATAGGCAGACACCACTTTCTTGGTCTTTGCTGCCTGAGCTGGAGCTTTAGACTGTTTGAGAGATATATTAGGTATTGGGCAACCTCTCTTGGCAAAGAATGGTTTTCCTCATAGAGAGGGGGAGTAAGGGGTTTTCTTTTGAATCAGAAAATGTTGTTTGTAGAGTCTCTTTCTGTTCAGGTCTTCAATCATTTGATTTGGGAAAATCCAACAATGTTGATATGTAAAAATTGAATACATGAAAATTAGCCCTGGAGCATGTGCTCAAATTGTGTCGTTTCTGCCTCTAGGTTTATGTGTTAAGTAGGACATGAAGTGAGGCTAGGGCGGTTCTTCTATTTTGAGGATGTAGATAATGAGAGGAACTTTTGATGAATCTGGAAGAATACGAGTGCTTTACATTTTTTATGAAAGCTTATTTTTTTACCACCCTATATTGGCTATTAGGTGCTGATGGCGTTGACCATTTTCTGTTCCTTATTTGGCTGATTGTATCCATTCTTCCGTTCATATTTTATCTCAATTGATGATGCAGCTTATTCCATCCTGATGTTGTATCTCGTCGCCTCATTTTTTTCTCTTCTAATTTCTTTTAAATCCAGGTCTATCTGGGCGAACAATATGTAAATAATTCTACACTATCTGATGTAACATTTTTAGTTGAGGGTAAGAGTGGTTCTATTTTTTAATAATGTGACTCTCTTCCCCTTTTCCTTTTTAATGCTCTACTAACTTTTTTGTTCATTCTTCTACCAGGCAAACGGTTTTATGCCCATAGGATTTGTTTACTAGCTTCTTCTGATGCATTTCGAGCTATGTTTGATGGTGGCTACCGGGTGAGTTATAGTCTGCCTTTTATGTTCTATATTTATTCATTTCCGTAAATGCTATGATCCATTGTAAAGATCTCTCTCCAATTTTAAAGTTGACATCTTGCTTAAGTGTAAGGGTAGAGGAGCAGGCCATTATCCATTGAGTTTTGAACCTTGCACCTAATATGTTTTATTTTATCTTCTTTTTGTTTGTGTTTGCTAGCCAGTTTATCAACCAAACAAAGAGTAAGCCTGTTATTGCTTCAAAGTTTTCATTTTCTTTTATTGTCTTCTTTTCTATAGATGTAACTCTTGCTGCTTTGATTTGTCTTACTCTCCTTTTTAGTTTGTGTCAAAAGAACGCCTTACTACCCTTTGTTCATGTCTTTAATTCCACAAGATTCAAGGGCATTTTGGTACATTACATGCATGTGTATCTTTAGTTTAAGACCATAAGATTCAGAAGTCATCATTTTAAAAACTTTGTACCCAGTCAAATTAAGATACAATGAAGTGGCGGGGGGGGGGGGGGGGGTTTATGAGAACCAAGATAGTGTATGCATGGCCATTGCAGGAGGAGTCAGCCCAACATTTTTGGTTGAATTTTGTCAGCGTATCTGGGGTTATGTTGATACTTTTGTTTCTAATAGTTTGTAGTAAACGCATTGCAGGAGAGAGATGCCAAAGACATCGAAATCCCAAATATCCGATGGGACGTTTTTGAGTTGATGATGAGGTAGTGATCTTTAATTACCATTTTACATCCTCAGTATAGATCCTGTAAGTCAATCTTGCAGTTTTAAGAACTATCTTTCTTGCTTGCAGGTACATATACACAGGATCTGTTGATGTTAATTTGGATGTTGCACAAGATCTTCTAAGAGCTGCAGACCAGTATCTATTAGAGGGCCTTAAACGTCTTTGCGAGTATGCCATCGCACAAGTGAGTGCTGAGCTCTTTTGGGAGTTTGGGGGGTTTTCCTGTCACATTTATGCTCTAATGATTTTTTTCTTTTCTAGGATATATCTGTGGAAAGTGTCTCTCTCATGTTCGAATTGTCAGAGGCATTTAACGCTTTGACTTTGCGTAATGCTTGCATTCTATTCATTTTGGAAAAGTTTGACCAATTAAGTGTTATGCCATGGTATGTCCTGGACTTTTCTATCCTTAATTACATTATTTTTATGGGCTTTTGGTGCATGGGGAATCAAGCTTGGATGTCCTATTTAATTTATTTGATGTGAAAAATTGTGGAGCATGTCATTGATCCAAAAAATGATACATGAACTGATTGAGAATGTGGATTTTCTCTAACATGATGCGGTCTCCCATGCAGGTATTCGCATTTGATTCAACGTGTATTACCTGAAACTCGAAGTTACTTTGAAAGGGTGCTTACCAGGGCTATTCAAAATGACATGCGAGTCTAGATGTTTCAGATTCAGTTTTGTTTTTTTATTAATTGTAACCGGGGGAAGGTAGTATGTACAGGAGTGGTTACTATTGTAATAGTCTCAAAATGAGCGCTAATGTAAAATTTACTCAAAGATGCACTAATTTTAGATCTTTGGGTCAACTTAGCTTATATGGTTTCAACGCCTGCTATGTTTGATGTGGTGAAAGAATGAGTATCTACATTGAAAATCTTTATATAGTGGGTGTGGTAGTGAGATTCTTATAGAATCCTTCCGAGTTTTACACTAAACTTGATGTTAGATTATTCATTTTAATGTTGGTAACCAATATATGATAGGTGCTGATGAAACATGATGCCCCTTGTGTACTCGATATGCTTGGTTATGCCATCTTTAAGAATATCCAATGAAAAAGATGGATGACACCTCTGCAAACGTCTTATTTTGTAGTTCAATTAATGGGTTCAAGATGTACCATAGTGCTTCTATCTGGCTCTAATTGCTGGCCATGGACAAACTACACAAATGGGGTAAGGGTTGTATACCTGCAATGTACTTTATACGAAACTCATAATGAATCTAAGAATCACCTATATGTCTCTTGTGATTATGGCCGGTGCAAACACAACCTAAAACTGTAGTGAAGATTGACCAGAGAGGAAGCAATTTAACTTAAATAATGAACTAATGATGGTTAAGAAGTGGTGCAAACAAGCAATAAAGAACTCAACCAAGCAAATTGAATCTCCTTGACCTGATCACAACAAGATAGTCTAAAGGATTCTAAGACCCTGTCACCCGTCAAAGAAATATTCTTAGGTCTAAAGTTTATAGCTTCGTAGCTTGTGTCACCTATAAATAAGATAGAACAGAATACTAATTCACAGAAACTGATAATTCCGGCTGCCAATTAAATCTGCCTGTCGTGCTCTTATATAATCTTTGGCCTCTCTTTGCTTCTCAACCTTATTGAACTTTTTTGACATTTCATATTTAGGAGTGGACCTTGATAGGAGGGTGTGGAAGTCAAAAGTTTGAACAGAAGACTAAAAGTATATAGTTTTGCATCTGGTCTCCGCAGCTATTATATTAGTATATTTTTGGTATTTTATTATTTTACTATTTTTGTGATTCTCTCTCTTAGCTAGCGTTTGGCCATAGATTTTCAAATATTATTGGAAAATGTTATTTGAGTGAAAATTTGGATGAAATTTCACCATGTGTTTGGCCATAGGATTTGGGAAATATATTTCACCTTTTTAGAAAAATATGATTTATATATACAAGTTTTAAAAACTATCAAAACTAACTAAAAGTTTGTATTACAAGTCAATTGGATGTTCGTTACAACAATAACAAATAGTGTCCATGACACTAAAGCAATGTAGTAATTTGGAGTGAGTGCAACAAGAATTATTCCATACATCGTGAAGTAGACAAAGTACATGACTTTGTTACCTAGAGCCAATTTTTAATAATTTTCATCAACAATTATATCATTATTTAATATTCACTAAATATTTCATCACTATTTTGGTATTCACGTAAAAAATTATGTAATACAACGCAAGCAACTACTAAAGAGGGTGTTTTTGTAAAAGATAAAAGATTGGGGTAAAATTTAAAATTTTCAAAATATCCCAAATAATGAGATTTGACCCAAATACTAGAAAAAACTAGTATTTGGAAATTTGGGATATTTGCCAAAAATATTTGCCAAATAATGACAAATTGTATGGACAAACATTATTTGCTAAATATTTCCCAAATATTATTTGAAAAATTTATGGCCAAACGGGCCCTTAATTTTCTCACTACTTGTTCTCTTGTATGCCTCCATTTTTCTTACAACCCTACCATTGTTGCTGCTTATGTCTTCATAATTGTTATGTTTTGTTCTTTGAGCCACTATTGTTACTGCTTGTCTTCATAATTATTGTGTTTTGTTCTTTGAGCCTTCTACCGTATAAGGTAGAGGCAAAATCTAAATACATATTATTCTCTTCAACCCCCTACTTATGAAATCATACTAGATATATTGTTATTGTTGCTTAGTTCGAATATATAAATAAAATATTCGGTCAAATTTATTGAGCTATGTGTTAAACCAAAATAAAAACTATACATGAAGTCAAGAAGATCCTGCGAACTAAACGGTGATCCTTGGGGTATTTACAAGTACCTGAAATTCATACGAACAACTAACATATCTTATGTAAGACCACAATGTGAAGTCTGAAGAGGTGAGAGTACACACAAATCTTACTTTTGTTTTGCAGATAGAGAGGCGAAATTCTAAAAGAGCATTGGTGTATAAAACCCTTGTGGGTTCAAACTTGGTTGTTCAAAATAATACCTGAAATCCTAAGAAACTTCGATTGTAAACACTAAACAAGCATGCCCCTCATTCTATAGGGACCAACATCAGCGGGGAACTTCGCAGAACATGAAAAAGAATGATACCAGGGTTCCTGGGAGCTACACTAGTACAGTAAAGAAAATCTGCACAAGACAAAAATATGTAAAAAAAAAAAAGAGTGTATCACACTGCTATGACTTTTTCCTACCTAGACATTATAGTACAAAACCCAGCATTTCAGTTTCTTCCATGTCTGAAGGGAGTATATCAACTTTGCAATTATATATTCACCATTGTAAAACCTCATCTTGCAATCTGTGCGCATTTGGAATCGTCTTTGTTTGACCAGCTCTCACTGATTCTACATGCCTGAATTGAGCGCTCGATCTGGAGACCTACAGTGCCTTCCTTCTCTATGAGAGAACAATAGCTTCCGAATGTCGGGACATTTACATGAAGTTGAAAATCCAATCCAAACAAGAATTTCATCTCCAGCTTATTCAACTCTTTAGTGGTTACACCACCTACTCTTGCATAGTATGCATTGTTATAGAATCTGAAAATCACGCAGCACGTCACAAAGATTCAAAATAAGCAAGGGTCCTTTGCTGAATTAAAATTTAGAAACACCCTTTTCTTGTGTTTCTGGCAGTAAGCAGATAATGAAAGAACATAAATGCATGCATGGTATATGACTTCCTTTTGAGTCTACTATGTGTTAGTAATACAAAGGGAAAGCTCGTTGCATGTGGTTGGAACAGGGTTTCAGATTGGACTCTAATACTCAACTATCCGATCTGTTGACTATTCAACATGACAATAAATCTTAAAGCATGTATAGAAGCTATTACACATTTGGGGGTAAAGAATGAGGTCAGATAGATCATGTCGAGGTTAACTTACGCATCATCGATGAATTTTGCTGCCACCATCACACTCGTGATAAGTAGTCGGTGAACATTGAGGGAAGTTAAATGAGCACTAGTGCATTCAATGAATCTCTCCATGTATATGTGTGCGACCACAAAGCATGAAGGGCTGCAACATGAATACTTATAAATGCGATCCAAGTACTGTTCAATATTGAGAGAGGGGGCTCTTGATCCATGAAATATTGTGATCACGTCTTCACTTTGTGAACTTTCTAATAAGCTTTCATTATTTTGAACAGACCTCTCAAGAAGTGTTGAAAGAAGTGATAGAACTCTGGGTTTTCCTGATTTTTCCTTGCCAGATATCTTCAGACCCAATGCTAAGTACTGTTTCGAGCATGTGACCTCAGGTTCAGGTGCCAAAGTTCCCATGTCCTGGAGATCATAGATTAAATAGTATCAACACACTCGAAAATTGTTAAAGTATCATCTGGAATGAGAACTACAAAATATATGAAGCAACTAAACATTCGTAAGAGCAGATGAGTAAGTAGCTGTAAAATTCATCTGATCAGCTCGGGAAATAAACAATGAATTGAAGCAGGGACTGTATCTTTGACTCTTAAAAGTTAAACCTGAAGGGTGCGGTCAATAATCATGGTTAAGGAGCTTCTCTTACTCATCTCCCAATAAAACAAGACCTACGTTATAAAAGAGTTTCTTGTTATGAACTTCAGTTTCCTCTTTCTCTACCAAAGAGGCTAAAGCTTTTCAGACCTATAATTATTAGAAAAAGATAATATCAAGCATTAGAAGGTTTTGGTATCTTCATCTAGTAGAGAATCTCTTCATCTAGTAGAAGAATGTTCACGTTTTCGGTTAAGACTGCACTTGATTAAAATGACAACAAAGAACAAATCTTACAACAATGGAACCATTTGTTTAGCAGTAAGCAGGATGGTGAACTTGAATTCTGAAAAGACTTGTTTTGGTAAGGCCCTTGCCCCTTTGTAATAATGTGGGAAAGAGAAGTCAAAATTGCTGATTTTTTCACACAAAAATGTTTATTATCCTTCATGTGTAATCCTAACGGTCATAGTTTTGGGGTACTACCCGACACCTCAAACAAGACAAATATAATTCATGAAAAGTAAATTAATTACCAAAATTTACATGCTCAATTTAGGAAATGTCGAGAGTTTCCAGCTAAAACACAATATGGTGTTAAAAGTGCAACTTCTAGCTCATCCCTAACACTCTCTGACTTAGTACTGTGAATCATAAACCATTAACAATTGACCCAGAACATTGGTTTATCCGTTAAACAGAAAAGTAGAGATCTGCTGGATTAAAACTTAAGAAGTCATACAGTGAAAATATGAACTGATGGGTCATACTATGAGCACTTATCAAGAAATCACGACCAGTTACCAAATGATTAATATCATACCACAGAAGATATACTCCGAAGATGGCAATTTTGAGCAGACACGGATTTTCATGAAAAATATTAAAACAACCCATTTAGCTTATAAACAAATGAGCTAATTTCTTGAGAGCTCAACTATGCTTTGGGATCTGAAGTGAGTGTCGCAACGTACAACGGGATTACGATAACTAATCTACATTCACCATTCCACCACTCCATCATTGACACTAAAGGGTAAAAACAATTACTCCAACGGACTAATTTTACTCCCATAAACAATTTAACGAACTATACATGTGTCATCCAGAACCAGTCTCGTATTATTTAGTAGTACTAGTCATACTGAAACAAATTTACACACGTGAGTCTTTATATGCTTTATTTGAGTCGACAGTCTATTGGAAACAGCCTCTACCTTCACAAGGTACTGGAGTAAGGCTGTGAGACACCACCCTCCCCAGACCCCATTTGGTGGGATTACGTCCGGTATGTTGTTATTGTAGAAGCTCCTATTCTGCCAGCAGCTTATAACAGATATCACTGTAAAACACTTTTCTGTTCGAAATTGTTATCATTACCTATCTTGCACCAATTCAGTACTAGCCAGTAGCCAAACTGAAAAAATGGTTTATAAATTCATCAATTATAAGCTCCCATCCTACAAGCAACCTATTACATTCAATTCATAAAATTTCCCAATTAGCAAGCATTAAATATGAAAGGTAGGTGTATAACTAAACCTATAATTGACAGATCTAAACCCATTGAAGTTAGGATCCAATAACTAATAGTCAAAACAAAAAAGAATATCAACTGAAAATCCTTGTATAAAAAACAACCAACACTAACAATATGCTTAACTTCTAATCACCAAGAACTTCATTAGCACACTTGTTAACTTAAAACCCAAAAAGCACAAAGCATAGATCTAACATACTAATCAGCAAAACAAATAACCTGCTACAGATAACCCATTCAACTAGGGATTCCTAGCTCAAATAAATATCAAAAAGGCAAGTGATAAAGAAAAAACCATTTACCAGAAATGAAAAACAAAACAGACTAATACAGAGAAAAGGGGCTTACAAAGCAGATAGGACAGTTGTTGTTCTTGAGAGATCTGGTAAATTTTTCAGGTGGTACTTGAAATTTCTACATGAGAACCCAAATCTTGGAAGTAGAAGAACATTACAGTAATGGCAGCTAACAAAAGGGGCAAGAAGACAATACCATGTCAGGTCTCTTTACACACTATGACTACAACAACAACACCCCCTTTGAGCTTGAGCTACCCATAAACCCACTCACCCTGACCCAACCAAACTCTCAATTGTGAAGCAAAATAGGTGAGCCAAAAGAGGAGAGGTAATGGGGTTTCTTCTTCTTAGTTTAGTTTCTCTTTCTATACAGAGTTGGATTACCCTTTAAGGTTGCTTCACATGAAGAGCAACATACATTATATACTTACTTACCTATCTTGTTTAATGTATTTTGATTTCATATAAAATTTTAGAAAAAAAAAAAAACACTAAATTAGTACTGATTTTAAATATATAATGGATAAAAAGATGAATAATTATTTCTTTGGTTTAAAATAAAATGGTTTAATTTAACTTGCAAAGCATGTGTATTTGTTTTGAAATTTAATTAAAAAGAAAAGGTCAAATAAATTAATTGACTTATAGTTATTAAGAAACAGTAAATGATATGGTTAATTTTATCAAATTTGTTTTATTAAATATAAGTTACGAAAATATTAATAATAAATAGTATCTAATAGCAAGATAAAATAGATTTTTTTAAAAAATAAATTGTTCATCAATTTTTTATTGAATATTTTAAAATGATATAGTGAACAAATAAAATAATATAAATATTTTATTATAATACTCATATCAAACCATATATAATTTGAAATTTGAAAATATAAATAATAACTATGAAAATATATCTACTACTACCTACATAAACATTCATATAACTTTATTTTTTAAATTTGGATAAAAATAATTTTTATTAAAATTTTATCATTTATTTTTTCATGCAAGTTTTTTTTTATCACATTGATATAAAAAAAGTTAAAATTTATAATATTTTTACTATAAATTTTTATTTAAAACATTAAATTAATATAATTTAGTTTAATTTTAAAAATAATCAACTTAACTTTTAAAAAAAAACATAATATAACAGTTAAATCTAAGGGAGTAAAAATACTTTGAAATAATGAAGAAGTGAGAGTAAAATGTGGAAGTATTCGTTATTTGTTGTTGAGCTTCAAAAGGAATGGGTTTTCACTTTTCCGACGTTCTATTTGTTCAACAATATTTATTTATTATTTGTTTTATATTTTTTAATAAAATAATAATTTTTAATTATATTATTTTTTAAATAAAATTTGTTTTGATAAACTGAACAAATATCATTATACATTTATAATAGATAAACTATGAAAGCAATTAAAAAAATAAATAGACTGAAGTGTCGGTAGTGTATATCTAATCACAAAATTTTACCATTTTAAAAAGTGGGATAATTTGCTCTTTCATAGGCGACCGGTGCGGCGTTGGTCCTACCATAATTTATTTTTATTTATTTCTCCTCATGAATTCATTGAAACTTTTGGTTTTGTTTATAAGTTAACGAATTATAAATTTAAATATATTGGCATGTATATATTGAATTGGTACGTGATTTTATTAGCAGATCTCTCAAATTCATTTTTTTCTTCAAATGACTCTTTTAGGAATCAAGTCATTTTCTCCTGAATTAGTAAATTATTAAATTCTATTTGGATATTCTTCAATTCAATTCTTTATTTTTATGTCATATTTTTAATGTTCTATTGTGAAAAATTGGGAGGATTTCCAAAAATCAAGCCACACAAAGAGGAATAAAACGTCTAGATTTTGTGAGAAAACAAAGATAAAAAAGAGCAATTGAGAGTAGATATTCTATTTCTAGCATCTACAAATCATCCCTTCGTCCGTTATCGTATGTTATGATTTTTATTTTTAAAGTCAAATTATAAAAACTTTGATTAATATTTTAAGATGTATTTTTACATAATATTAATATGTACAAAATTGTTTTTTATATAGTTTTAGAATATCTAATTTTTTTGTTTAAAAATATCAAATTAATGTGATTTAATTTAACTTTAAAAATTAATCAAATTAACTTTAAAAAAAAGCGCAACTTCGAACGGATAAAATATTATTACAAAATCTAGCAGACTCCTCCTTTCAAATATACCTCGAGAAACGATCAATGGTTAATTATTTATTTATTTAAACTGTATATTTATGATGTTTAAAAAAATTAATTATGCACAATATTCATATGTTAGAAAAACAAAACCATCTTTAACCATATAATGTTCACATATAGAGAACATTTTAATCGCTCAGATATGAAATGGTTACTTACGCCGATAAGAGTGATAGACCGATAAATATTCATTTATTTTTAATCAAGAGGTAAAGACGGAGCCTCTTTTGTTAGGAAGCCTTTTTCTCCTAATGTGTCACTTCTGAATATCCCCAAATGTACGACTTTTGAATTTAAATCGGGCTTCAATATGGGGGACTTCTGAATCCAAATTTAATCGAGCTGCAATGTGGCTACCGAACACAAAATAGAATATCAAAAAAATAAATTTAATCGGACTCTACTATGAATACCGAATGAAAACAAACAAAGAAAAAAAAGAAATCGTTACTATATATTTTAAATCTTAGGGGTAATTAAAATGTAGGTGGGGTTCATGAATTTGGACGAATTTAATATTTATGTACTAGAAAAAAATTAAATATTTATATATATTAATTTGTGAATTTCTAACAAAGTTGATTGACAATTATTACAAAATTTAGAACTATGAAATTCTTAATTCTCGCTTCGCCTCTTATTATTTTTAGCTGTTTGATTTGTTGTGTATTTAACAAACAAATCCATACTACACGAAGGGTTATTTCTGTCTTTGACAAATTTAATTCATATATTACTAATTTTTGTATTATTATTTCATATTTTATCTTGTATGTAATTATATATAGATTAGTATAACTATATATAATTACATACAAGATAAAATATGAAATAATAATACAAAAATTAGTAACTATATATAATTACATACATGATAAAATATGAAATAATAATACAAAAATTAGTAATATATGAATTAAAAATTATTTATGTATATTAATTTGTGAATTTTTAAAAATTAATTAAATTGACTTTCAGAAAACGTAACATGGTAAATAAAAAGGGATGAACGAGAGAAATGTATCCTTATTTATCATTTTGCAATAGTACATAAATTATTTGATGAAACTTCTGTCCCGACAACCCATTATTAATTAATCCTTAATTTTGATTTTAAATGAAATAAATCATTAAGTAATTAACCACATTGTCTTGGATTAATTAACAAGTCGACATATACCAACACTAAACTACCAAAATAGATAGATGAATTGATTTATTCTGTCAAGTTACTTTCAGTTGTTTGCTTGTCCAGTTGTCCAATTGATGATTAATTAAATTGATTTATTTTTTGTAATCAGTTGGTAAGTGGGGTATAAAAAAACACATCAGACAAAAAAAAACACACTCTTTCATTAGAAAATGAAATACGTAAAAGACAAAACAATAACATAAATTAATTTCATCATTAAAATTTTGACATGGATAAATAATGTCTGACATTGTTATTAAAAGTATTATATTAAACTACATGATTTATATATAAAGCGTTTAATCATGCGTTATTGGGAGATTTATATTTTTAAAATAATTGTAAACTGAAAATTAATAATTGATAATTGAAGTTAAGTTTGGTGCATGAATAGAAATCATAGTTATTTTTTATTTTTAAGTAATTTAGAGTGAACATTTTTTGTTATTTTCAAATTCATAGAAATACTAAATTCAACTTCAAGTTAAATTATGAAATTTTGTGGTTATCATATTTTTTGAAATTCAATTATGAAAAAGCAAGTATTATTCTTTCCATGATTATACACTTCCTTAATCATTGCATAAACAATTCATTTTTGATTAAATATAATCCAATATAAAAGTACTTATGTGAACAAAATTAAATGACCCAGATGGACAATAATGACAACAATTTGTGCACTAAATTACGATTTTTAACATGGAAAAGTATAATGTCAAAAATGATGCATACAATAGAAGGAATAGGTGACACTAAAACTAAATCACAATTTTTTAAAAGAAGTCAAGTTTATAATTTGAAATTTTTTTAATCAGACTTGACCTTATTAACAGAATTCTTTTTAAAACTTATTTTTATATCTATAAGTAAATTATATCGTTGAGACGATAATTAAATTTACTTTTGATAATTATGAAAATATCTCAATAAATATTATATCATAACTTGATCGCAACTTAAAGTAACTTAACTATAAACAAAAAAATAATAATTGAAAGCCATAATTTCTTTATATATTTATTTTGTTAGAGTATATATTAAATAAATATTTGTGTGGAAGCTTGACAAATTTGTGTGGAAATCAAAGGGGGTGCTTAGTGAAAAGAAGAAAAGAAATTGGTTAAAATCTTTTAAACTTACTTTTTATCTTAATTAAGATGACTTTCAATAATCAGGTGTGGTGTAATTATTACGTTTTGTAGTACTTAGTATATAGATCTCTGCAATTGCTCTATAAATAGCTCTTTGCTAGGGCCTAGGGGGTACAAATCAACTTTTTCAAGTCAAATTGAATTTATAATAGGAAAAAATAATTGACTTATGATTTCTTTGATTGATTTGGCATTATAAAATAAAATTTATCACTCTTAATTTGTTTTGACGTTAAAAAAAAAAATTAAATTGAGTTTAAACTTATCTCAAATTTGGGTATATAAATATTTTATTTTGTATTTAGATAGACAGTAACAAATTACAATTACATTTTTATAAATTTCATATAAAAAATTAATAATCTACTTTATATAAATATTTTATTTTATATTCAATTTAATTGTATTCTTTAATCTCATAAATTTTAACATATTAAATATTAATATTTTTAAATAAAATAATATTTTTTATTCATGTTAATATTTACAATTTTAAAAAGAATTCTATTCATTCAACGTTTTTAATTTCTATCCTATCATACATTCAAATAAAAATATGTTTAACCTTTTTTTCAACTAATGTATGAGTAACTTTTTATTAATTTACTTTATTAATTCAATAAATTAATATAATTATTAGTTTTAATTAAAATTATGTGATGTTGGTCCTAACAAAACAGAGAAGCCCCAACAACATTATTTTGACTTCATATATAATACTTAAAAGTAATAATATAATAATTAAAAATAAAGAGTTGATGCAAACTGGCATATGCCATCTGACAGTGATGAATGTGTACTAAATAAGAGTACATTATTTTTGGTCCATCGTCTATATGACAAACAAATAATTAAATAGCGTGCGGTGCTCCATTTTTGTCTATTTTGCGTCGGTGCAAAAAATATTAATTGAAAATGTCTTCACTACTTTATTTAGATTAATAAATATACGCAGATCGTTATTTTATCGAGTATTAATTAATTAATTTTTATTTATATGTATATTATTTTTATTTATTATTTATTTTTAAAATAAATTTGTATTTTTATTTGTCATCAGGGTGTAGCTGTAGCCATATATGTAAATTATATATATTTAAAGTTAGACAGTCTTAACAAAAGCTATGTTGTTGACGCATTAATAAATGGTATCAATTTGAAGGAAGGAGTCTTCGATTTAAACATAACTTAAGTATTTTTTTTTAATTTTTTTTTAGCACAAGGAATTTCTTGGGAAATAATTGAATAGTAAACGATCTTGTATGTTTCTTTGTGCATATATTGTCCTTGATGAATTAATAAAAATCTTATTTCGTTGGGGAAAAAAGAAGAACAAAGAATAAAGAATTGTTAATCTCGGAGGAAAAAAAGAAGAAAGAAATGTTAATTGTTTTTTTTAAAAAAAAAAAATAGCTTCCAAATTATAGAATATATAACCTAAAATTAAAAAGTTGAAAGATAAAAAAAAAACAAAATTGTACATCTATATTTATATTTAGTAAAAGAAATACCATCTCTGTTATAATTTATTTATCTAATTTTAATTTGACATGTAATTTTAAAAAGTTATGAATTTTTCATTTTATAATCTTAAACTAGATTTATGTAAATGTACAAAATAGTTTCTAATCTTGTGGTTCCAAACATATCAAGGAAAAGTTGAATTTTTGGAAAAAAAAACTTGTTTTTTTTAAACAAACTAAAAAGGAAAGTAAAACAAACAAATTAAAACTAATGAAATAATTAAATAAGAAATTAAAAAGAGAATTTTTTTAAAAAATAATTATCATTTGAGCATCATTAAAGATCTATCTGACCTCACCGAAAACATGATACGTTACATTTACTTACATTTCAAAAATCATATAAGGGAATTATTTTACAAATAAACTTAAAAATCATATAAAGGTTTTAAAATTGCTATAAGCTGGTAATTGAGACTGTAATTTAATTATTTTGATATATGAAATTGCACCACCAATAATTGTGGTGCAGTAGGGCTGATTTCGAGTTTTAATTATGACAAAAAAGTGCGATTATTCTAACTTACATAAATTTGAATTAGCTGAATTTTAGAAAAATTTACTACTTCACCTAAACGGAATGTAATAACTCAAATAATTACTTAAATCTTAATAGAATACCAGCATAACAGAAAGTCACATTAGCCTCTTTCATATGCATTGTTATATTTTATTTTTTATCTTAATAAGTGAAAATCAAACTTATTCATTTTTATTCTCATTTGGTATTTGGAGTTTGGATTGCACACTGCATGCCATATTCGATGGTGTGTCTTTTAACAAGATTTTGTTCAAATTTAAAATTTAAACTAGAGATCTCTAATTAAAAATACTAACAGTTTTACTATGCACTCATAAACTTACCCACTTAATTCTTAATATTTCAATAGATTAGCATCATTGTTAATGATATATCCAATTGTAAAATTCAACACTAATAAGTCATAACAAAGATTCCACCTTTTCCTCAATTTCTCAACAGACTCCATCAATAGAGGACTAAAGTTTAATTTGTTCAATTTCTTCAAATAATTTACTTGGCTAGTATGAATAATAAATTAATAATGCAGTAGGTTGAGTACAAATCACTTCAATGTATAATAACCAATATTTGAAACTTCAATGATGAGTCTGGGTTTTCAAAAATAAATAATAATAATAAAAAAAAAATATAATAATAATAATAATAATAATAATAATAATAATAATAATAATAATGTAAATCCATGTTAAACTTAGGATTCATTCTAAGAGAAAATTGTGCAGAATAACGAACATTTAAATGATATAGCTATTGTCTTGAAAAGTTGTAATTCATAATCATAGTTTCTTCAAATTTTGCTATTTGTTTAATTTGTCAAATTTATATAATTCGCCTGATTGTAAAATTTAGAATTTTGTATAATTTGGTTTTTAATTGTATATGTCCAAAATTTGAATATGTTTACCTTAGCTATTTGTATACGATTTATGAAAAAAATTCACAATAACTTACCCCGTTTGTATATTGACAAGGAAATATCCAAACGAAATTCTGAAACTTCCTAAACATATAAATACATAATTTGTATATACTTATTCTATTAGTATATTCACAAGCGAAATATGCCATGGACAAGCTATACAAGTCGCACGAAATATACCACGGTCAAGCTATACAAGTTGCACGAAATATACAAACCACAACCTCTATAACAAACAAAACTATTAGATATAAAATGCGATTATCAAAACTATAACAATAAAACCTTATTATGTCTATTATATTTACTATTTTTAAAATTTCCTTTTTAATTTAATGACATGAAATAGTCTTTAAAATATCCATAACACTCAACTCTTGGTGCTAGGGATTTAGTTGTATTTGCTTTCTGGGAGAAAAAAAAACTTAAAATGAACTTATTTCTCGAAGTCCTCATCCTTGTGTAGGTCGTCCTTTAGCTTGGGATCAATCAAACGTTTGAGAATTGTGAAATTTTTATATTTGGTATAGGAGTAATAATTATAAGTTATGGTATTATTCTTTTTATTTTTCAAGTTATAATAATAAATTTTGCAGATTTTGATATTGCGGTAAAATAAAAAATGATTTAAATAACAGCAAAAAATAATTAGTATGAAAATTAAATAAGATAAAACGGATATATTGGTAATAAATAATTTGATAACTTAATGATAACTAAAATGAGGCATAGAAATAAGAGATTCTGTAAAAGAGTTAAACAAATGCATTGATGTACATTGAAAGTATATTGAAGCATATAGTATATTATGGTGAGGATTACATACTAGATTATAGCTAGGAAGAATTAGTTACAAGTTAGTTACAAAGTTGTTAGTTAGTAAGTTGTATATAAATGATGTATTGTGTGACATTGAAGATTAATGAAGAAATTTTCTCCCTTCCAATTGTCTTGCACTCTCTCTGCGTGTTCTTGAGCTCCAACAGAGCTTTGGCTATGGATTCTTGTTAGAATCTGTAACCTTTACATGGTATCAGAGCCACTGATTCTGTAAACGAGAAGATAAAGTTGTTAATTCGATGGTTTCTACTGGAGATTCAGGAGGGGAAATCACAGGAACATCAATGGCATCCACGACCGTTGATCATCTTCATCTTTTGTACTTGCATCCATCTGATGCACCTGGCTCACTCAACATTGGAATAATGCTTACAGGAACAGATAATTACACTTTGTGGAGCAAAGCAATGCAGTTGGCTTTGCTTGGGAAGAACAAAGTAGGATTCATTGATGGAACAGTGAAACGAGATCAGTTTTCAGGGAGTTTAGCTCAACTGTGGGATCGATGTAATGCCATTATTGTTTCATGGATTTTGTGCAATGTGAGTAAAGATCTACACAGTGGTGTTCTTTTCTGTTCAGATACACATTTGATTTGGGGAGATCTAAAAGAAAGATTCAACAAGATCAAAAGTTCTCGTGTGCTTCAGATCTTCACACTTGTTCAAGGTGTGTCTTCTATCTCAGTATACTACTCAAGACTCAAAGATCTTTGGGGGATGAATATGATAGCATCATGCCACCACCAGCTTGTAATTGTCCTAAGTCTAAAGAGTTTTTTGAGCATCTTCAATATCAGAGAATGTTGCAATTTCTTATGGGACTTAATGATGGTTATGCTCAGGCTCGTAGTCAAATTCTATTGATGCATCAACTTCCTAGCATTAATCAGGTTTATGCCATGATAAGTCAAGATGAAAGTCAGAAACTAGCAGCAAATTTAAGTAGGTCAATGCCAGAAAGTTTAAATCCTACAGCAATGTATGCATCGAGATCTAATTCTAGGAATAAGAAGCCATACAATCCTAATGCCTTATGTGATTATTGTCACATGAAGGGGCATATGAGAAGTGATTGTAACAAACTATTGAAGTGTGATCATTGTCACAAAACTGGCCATGTAAAGCTGGATTGTTTCAAACTTATTGGATATCCTTCAGAGTTCAAAGGAAAGAGGGACACAATTGTTGCAGGGAACTCAATCTATGAGGAATCATCCATCCATCATCATGCTCCACAAGCTACTGTTTGGCATCAAAGGCTATGTCATGTACCCTATGAGTGTAATCCAGGAAGATTCCCCAGTTTAAATAAGTTTGGTAGTAAATTTACACTGCATGATTGTGAAGTTTGTCCACTTGCTAGACAAACTAGGCTGCCCTTTCCTAACAGTACTAGTAGATCAACAAATATTTTCCAGCTGGTTCATTTGGATGTTTGAGGACCATATAGAGTTGAAACTTTTGATGGTATGAGATATTTTCTTACTATTGTTGATGACTATTCAAGATGGACATGGACTTTTCTAATGAGATTGAAAATCAGATGTTGTTAGTTTGTTAAAACATTTCTTTACAGAAGTTGAAACTCAGTTTGGTAAAAAGATTCAGAAGATAAGGACAGATAATGGTTCTGAGTTTTTTAATTCTAATTGCAATGAACTTCTTAAGTCACATGGGTGCTATCCATGAAATCTCTTGTCCATATACACCTCAACAGAATGGTGTAGTGGAAAGAAAACATAGACATATTTTAGAGACAGCAAGAGCTATTAAGTTTCAGGCTGGTTTTCCAGATAGATTTTGGGGTTTATGTGTTCAAGCTGCAGTGTATGTGATCAACAGAGTGCCTTCTACTAGTTTGAATGGTGTATCATCTTTTGAGAAACTATACAACAAGCCTCCTTCAATTGATCATTTAAGAGTGATAGGCTGCTTGTGTTTTGCTACTAATCTTACTAAGCAAGACAAGTTAGTCCTAGGGCCATAAAGTCTGTCTTAGTGGGGTATGAGACTACACAAAAGGGCTACAAATTATACAATTTGGAGAGTAAAACATTCTTTGTTAATAGAGATGTAGTCTTTGTTGAGTCTGTGTTTCCCTTCAAAGACAATTCTACATCATCAACTGATCCTGTTTCCAATACAGAGTTGTTCAATTATGATGAAATGATCACTATAGTGCCACAACCCACTATATCTCATTCTAGTTCAGATAGTGTTGCTCCACAAATGTCACTCCATCAGGATGTTCCTACAATAAGAAAGTCTGCTAGGAGTGTTAAACCTCCAATCTGGCATAAGGATTACATTACTACAAGTGGGACTAACAGATGTTTGTATTCAATAACTTCAGTACTAGATTATTCTGGATTGTCCAACAAGTATCAAAGTTTCGTTTCAAAATTATCAGTTGAAAATGAGCCAGCTACTTATGAAGAAGCTATACAAGATGTTAGATGGGTGGATGCAATGCAAAGTGAAATAAAAGCTCTAGAAGATAATCAGACTTGGGAATTAGTAGATTTGCCAAAGAACAAGAAAGCCATTGGCTGTAGATGGGTTTACAAGGTGAAGTATAATTCAGATGGTGGTGTAGAAAGATTCAAGGCACGACTGGTGGCCAAAAGTTATAATCAAAAGGAAGGTTTTGATTACCAAGAGACATTCTCACCAGTGGTTAAAATGGCCATTGTAAGGTCTATTATTTCAATTGCAACTGCTAATCATTGGCACATTCATCAAATGGATGTGTACAATGCCTTTCTACAAGGAGATCTCTATGAAGAGGTATACATGACATTGCCTCAAGGTTTTAGTAGAAGGCAGAACAACAGCAATGGAAACAATCAAGTGTGTAAATTGCTAAAATCACTCTATGGCCTGAAACAAGCATCAAGGCAGTGGAACATCAAGCTTACACATACCTTGATTGAATCTGGATTTCATCAAAGCACAAGAGATTATTCTTTGTTCACAAAGAGAAAACAAGACAAGATAATGATAGTTCTTATATATGTAGATGATCTGTTATTGACAGGAAATGATCCAGTGATGATTCAGCAAACTAAGGAGAGGTTACAACAAGCTTTCAAGATCAAGGATTTGGGAGAACTAAGATACTTTCTTGGGCTGGAATTTGCTAGAAGTGATGCTGGAATTCTAATACATCAAAGGAAGTATGCTTTGGAACTCATATCAGACATGGGGTTGGCAGGTGCCAAACCAGTCTCAACTCCATTGGAATTGAATCAAAAACTTACTACAGTTGAATTTGATGCTAATATTTCATCTACATGTCCTGATGAAACATTAAAAGATCCTACAGGATATCAAAGGTTAATTGGGAGGTTGTTGTATCTCACAACTACTAGACCTGATATATCATTTGATGTACAGTGCTTGAGTCAATTTATGCACTCTCCAAAGACTTCACATATGGAGGCTGCAATGAGATTAGTTAGATATGTGAAATCAGAACCACGACTTGGTATTTTGATGGCGTCAACAGGTGGAAATGATTTGCAGGTTTTTTGTGATGCTGATTGGGGTGCATGCATTAATAGTAGAAGATCAATTACAGGATACTTGGTACAGTATGGAGGTTCACCTATATCTTGGAAATCTAAGAAACAAGTGACAGTGTCTAGAAGTTCAGCAGAGGCAGAATATAGAGCAATGGCATCTACAGTTGCTGAGATTGTTTGGATTGTTGGTTTGTTTGATGAACTTGGAATCAAGATTAATCTTCCTGTGCCATTGTACTCAGACAGTACTTCTGCGATTCAAATAGCAGCTAATCCAGTGTTCCATGAGAGAACAAAACACATAGATATAGACTGCCATTTCGTGAGGGAAAAGATACAAGAAGGATTGGTTAGTACAACACACTTAACATCATCTGAACAGCCTGCAGACATATTCACTAAGGCACTTGGACGAGATTCTCATATACATCTTGTATCCAAGCTAGGAATGAAGAACATCTTCATAGTTCCTAGCTTGAGGGAGGGTGTAAAAGAGTTAAACAAATGCATTGATGTACATTGAAAGTATATTGAAGCATATAGTATATTATGGTGAGGATTACATACTAGATTATAGCTAGGAAGAATTAGTTACAAGTTAGTTACAAAGTTGTTAGTTAGTAAGTTGTATATAAATGATGTATTGTGTGACATTGAAGATTAATGAAGAAATTTTCTCCCTTCCAATTGTCTTGCACTCTCTCTGCGTGTTCTTGAGCTCCAACAGAGCTTTGGCTATGGATTCTTGTTAGAATCTGTAACCTTTACAGATTCATACAAAAAAAAATACTTTATTTTTCTTATTTCGCTCAAAATAGTTAAAATTCTTTGAAAACAATTTTTTTTATGCAACGTTTCTCTCTTCTTAACATTGTCTCTAGTTAGTAGTCACTCTCATCTAAGTTCTTTTCATTTTTATTTGATAATCTTCATTTTCTTATAAAGAAACTTCTTATCAATATTAATATAGTATAGTTATAGATGTGATCTTCAGATTAGTGTTTTTTGCAATGTTTTATTTGTATAAAAGTCAAACATAAGAAAAAAATATGAACAGTGATAGTAAAAAAAAGTATTCAAATTTTGTTTGTGTATAATAATTTTAATTATGGCGTTGAATGTTGATATGAGGAAAGATTACTGGAAAATGCAGTGAATTTTGTGAATGAATACTGATTAAATATGAATTTTGTATAATGTTTTTATTGATTAATTTGTGAATGAATACTGATTAAAAATGTTTACAACTAATGTTCATTCTTTGTATGGGTAATTATTGATTTTTTGGTACGACTGGTAAAAAATTGATGTAAATTTTGTCTGACATTGGGATATAATATATCAAATTTGTATGAAAACTTATAATTTTTATAGCACAAATATAATATGATTCAATTTTTGTTTTAACATTATATTGGTATGAAATTGTGTATAATAGTAGGATTGAATTAGTTTACTGAAACAAACAATTATAGTTGTAAATTGTATGATTTTGTATTCTTTTCTATATGAATCTGGTATGAATTGGTGTTTACATTTGGCATGAAATAGGTATAAAAAGTATGCATAAAATGGTATGAAATTTGTATACTGATATAACATATGTATAAAAGTTATTTGTATTTTTGTATCATGTAATTACTAACACAATAATTTATGATAAAACAAGAAAATATGCAATTCAAAAAAATTGGGTCGGAGTATAGATTAGTGTGATTTGATTAAAAAAGAAGGGAAGATTGTATATAATAGCAAACTAATAACCTAAAATAAATGAAGTAGTTAGGGTTTGATTTAATTATGCTCCATATCAAACGTTTACAAGAAATTGCCAGGCGCCCTCTCTCCCAAAATATCTCGCTCGCTACTCTCCTCCAATCTCTCGCTCGCTTCCTCACTTTTTCTACAAACACAAGTGTATAAAAATTGTTTCTAATTGTATAAAGCAGAGAAAATTGTATAAATACATATATTTTTGTTCCCCCTCTCTCCCCTCTTCTAGATCTCGCTCGCCACTCTCTCAAATCCGCTCGTCACCCTCGCCTTTCTCACTTATACAAACAAAAGCGAAATGTATAAATTGCGTTATTGTTTGTATAGAGCGTGAGAAAATTGTATATACACATGCAAGTACATATATTTTCGTCCTATACAGTTATAATTATACAATAAAAGTACTCCGCTGCCCAGTTTTTTTTGCCTTTCTCTCTTTCTCGTTTTATACAATTTTCAAATTGTATCTAATTTCTCTCTTTCTCGTTTTATACAGTTCGATTCAATTGTATATTCCTTGTCAAGTCTCTTTTTCTTTCTCTCTTTCTCGTTTTATACAGTTCGATTCAATTGTATATTCCTTGTCAAATCTCTTTTTCTTTCTCTCTTTCTCATTTTATACAAATTCAAATTGTATATAATCGTTCTGTACACTTATAATAATACAATTTGTTTTATACACTTCGTTTTTATACAGTTCTCTGCCCAAGTGTCTTTCTCTTTCTTGTTTCATACACTTCATTTTATACAATTTGCTTCAACTGTATATGTATAGCGAATTACACAATTTCTATGTTTGCTATGGAGCACAATTATGCAAACTTTGCTATAACATACAAATATGAATTTTTTATTTGCTATATGTGAAAGTTGTCCCAAAAAAAATTGTTGGGAGACCACAACTTGAACGCTGAAAAGAGTTTGCTGATGTGAAATTTAAGACCTACGTGTAGTACATGTTCTCGGGAGGAACACACTACATGAAGACATGTTTAAATTACCCCCTAATGAAAAAGACATATTTTTTTTAATTATGATTTGATCGTTTTATTGTGGCAAACTCATATTTTCATTTATTTTATCTTTTAAGTTAATGATTATGATTTTAGAACATTTATTATGTGTACTAATTAATCATTTGT